GAGACCAGACTGTCATGGGTACCTACATCTCGTATATTATAGAGAGGTGTGAAAAAATTTAGTATTGGTAACAAAGGGCCTAAATGGTCTATAATGTTAAAAAAAATAACCATCATTATGGTTTTCGAACACGAAATGTAAAAATTTATTTAAGTACTTTCTTTAACATTAAATAAATACTTATACATAGAAAATTATCTATATAAATTAATTTAAATAACTGCATTTTTCATCTAAGATAAAAAAAAGATGATCAATAGAATTTTATCTAGACAAGATAATAGATAAAAATATTTTCATCTAGATAAGTTCCAACACTGTAAACGAATAAATTTGTAACGGGACAGAACTGTTTATCTGCCGTTAGCCATCATTCGTGCTACCCTCACGGCATAATAATAAACCAAAATGGTTATGGAACCAATCTCAGCGTTCACAGACCCGCGCCTAGAGTTTTGCGCTGGAGTCTCATAGTTATAACAAAAGAATTTCTTAGCCATATTTTACCTCCGGTACAATTGTCCTATGTTATCTTTACCCCCGGTAAGATTATCCTAGGTTAATTATAGCCCCTTCAGTGAGTGCAATTATCCAAGAAAAGTTTTACCCCCGGTAAGAATATCCTAGGATTCATCTACGTTCTAAAAACACTGCACAAATAAAATTATTTTTTAAGCGATCAGTCTTTTGATTGTAACGGAGCCCGCGCTCAGACGAAAACGGCTTTTTTCAGAGCCACCAAGAACAACATTGTGACGATGTAAAACGGCACGAAGGCAACCAATACAGCAGAAGAACAGTGTCGTTTTACATCGTTGGGTGGACAGATAAAAATCCGAGGAATGAGAATGGAGCATCGATGTCTGATTAGGTATACATACCGGTCATTTTTCAGAGCATCGACACTCTGTTCTTCCATTCACAACGATCTACATCCAAAAGATAAGAAGAATAGGAGCACCCGCCGACTATTACGACGAAGGCAATTGCGGCATTCACGGCGATCTTGAATACGGCGATAGCAACCTTATGGCGGCTGTGGTAACCACGGCCGTGAAAAACAACGATGAATAAGACAACCCACGAATCCGGCTCCGACGATGTTTACACGCGGAGCTCCGCGATTCGTCGACACTAAAAACGGCCCTTTTCAGGGTCATTATCCGTATAAACCTTTCCTGCGCACTTACACAAGTGTCCGCTGGTAAAGTGATCACGGTCGATACGCTTGTTTGCTTAAGTCTGCTGTCGACTGTGTATCCAATTTTTTATCGCATCTGCTCAGGTCCAATACCGCTTGCCGCGGTCGCATATTCGAACCAGCCGCGCGGCCCGGAATAATTTTATTAAATGTATTACTTTTATTTAATGTTAAATAAATAACTTGATATTTATTTCGTGAACATTTATAAAAAGATCCGGGTGTCGGTAATCCCGGCACTCCGTTTCAACATGTAAAGACAATGGTATGTACCTATAAACATAATTTTATTAATAAAATTTGTTTTTCCTCAATTTTTATTAACAAAAAATATCGTAGGAAATCATACCTCCCTCGAGGTACAATATTCCTAGTAATTTCTTATTGGGAATTAAAATTATCCTAGAGTATTCTTACCGGGGGGTAAAACTTTCCTAGGATAATCGAACCCACTGAAGGGGGAATAATTAACCTAGGATAATCTTACCGGGGGTAACTATAACCTAGGATAATAGTACCGGGGGTAATATATACCTTGGAAAATCTTACTTCCCCATCGGTAATATTTTCCGGGGGTATGATTTGCCTGTTACACCGCCACCATCGGACTTGAGTGCGCCGTGTCGCCTGTTGAGAGATACAGTCACGACAGTTGTATTAATCCGTGCTCGTATAATATCCGATGATATACATAGCGATCTCGACACACACCTGTGATTTATATCACAAAGTCACCGCACAGTGATCTGAAAAGTTAATTTACTTTACACAAAACTTAATTCAGAAAGTATGATAAAATGTTATCTAAATGAAATCTTTATTTTATAGGTATAACCTAACCTATATAAATCTATTAGTTGATTAATTTGATAAAATTAAAGCCATAAATATTATTGATGTCTTTAGACAACTTAAAATGTATATAATTTAAAAAATATTGTCTATCATCATGAGTATTTATTTCATTTTGGTTTTATTGGAAGCACATTTTAATTATTAAAATTATTCTTTTTGCATTTGTATACACAATGGAATATACGTATGAAGGTAAGTACCATTAAAACACATTTATAAATTAATATATGAGTTAAATATTGAATTGATTTAAGTAATGGAAAACTATTTACTTAACCGAGAATACTTAATTATTGTAAGTTTAAAAAAGGAACAAATTAAATATAAAAAAATAAAATAGTAACTAAAAAATATAAAATTAATTGATTTAATTATAATCACAGTTATTCAAAAGAAAAACAACGTACCAGTGGGAGTAAGTAGGTATGTATTTGTTTATCGTAAGTTCGTTTCACTCTGGATCGGCTTCTAGATTTCGGGTGTTTACTATAATATATAAATAAATACAATGTTTTAATAATTAATTACATTTTGAGAACTAAAAAAAATAAATAAATAATTTTTTTATTTTATTACTATTAACATACACAATGGGCAGGAATTGTAAAAAATGTAATTTGTAAGAAGAACAATATTTAACAAACGTGAATTGAACAAAATAAATAATATTGGACATAGACTATACCTCATAGATTATGTACATTATCAGGTTATGGAGTATGGATTATGTCTCATCATTGCTCCTGTCGCCGTATGCCACCAAAAAAATATTATTTAAATATGAATGTTTTTTATTTACAATAATTAATTTTTATTATGAAAAACATTAACCGATGAAATACTAAGATCCGTTTAAGTTGAAAAAGTTTTTATATACCCTCATTTAAATTTCAGAACGATTTATACTAAAATTATTATTCTATAGCGCATGTTAGAATATAATTATCTACAAATACAAGAATGTATTTTTATTTGAAATATGGATTAAATGTTGAAAATATATCATATTTTACAACGTAAAAATCATATTTTTAAATATTCTTCAGTCGCGATAAAAGAAGTATGCCAAAAAAAGTTTCCTTGTGCCTGGAGGACGGGGAGCGTATTACTAAACCAGCTAGATCTCCAGTGCCGTATACAAATACGCTGTTTTAATTGGTTTATTTGAAAAAACCACGCAAATATATTTTTCTTTTATCAATTAGGCAAAATTGATATCGTTAATATAATAATAACTCGTGTAAATAAATAAACAGATACTAATTTCTTAAAAAAAAAATTTTAGTAAAAACGTTAGAAATAACGTTAGAGAGTAGGGAGTTTTGTAACTTAAAGAAATACGATTTTGTCCAGGTTATATGTTACACACTCGTTATCATGTCATTTAAAATTAATACCTATAACAATATCACAAAAATGTACCTATACATTATAACCAAATTCTTAATGTAATTAATTAATATCTAATTTATAATTTGATGATATATACCTAAGTTGATTCATTAATTTGTTATAAGTCAGATATATTTAAACCAATCAAGTAATATATTATTTAAATGCAAATTAAATAAGTTGTGAGATATATTTAAAAACAATACTTTTATACTGTGTAGGGTAATTTTTCACAAAAATATTATCAGTCACTATAATTAAAAAAAAAAAAAAAAGTACTAACCAATTTACTGGTTGCTTATCTTCGATTGATATTTTATTAAAAAAAAAAAAAAAAAAAAAAATACTAGGAAGAATGATGATTATTTAAAGTATTCTTCACCACTAAATGCTTTAATCAAAATTGTATGGACTCATAATCCTACCGTTGACTCATATAATGCTTTAACATTTTTAAGAACAATAGTGAAGTAAGAATGTTTTATAATTTATAAATGTCTTTTACTCAAAACAGAAATTGTTTTATTTATATCTTATTTTATGTTGTTTAAGAAAGTTTGCTAAACCCTATTTGATAAAAGAAAAATATATTTTCGCGGTTTTTTCAAATAAATCAATGAAAACAGCGTATTTGTATACGACGATGGGGCTCTAACCCAGAGGTTCCCAACCAGGGTGCCATGGCACCCTAAGGTACCGCGATATAAAATTTAGGGTGCGGCATAAATATTTGAAATATATATTTATTTTTAAGCGCCTTCATGAAAAATATAGTACTGTGAGTAATAAAACAGACTATACTCTATGTCTATAGTATAAAAACTATTGTGTATAGTTAATCAGGTATATAAAAAATAATTTAATGAATAAATTATTAAAACATATAATTTTTACATAGTAATACTGAGATGTTCAATTTATTTTAATTTTCATACTGGTTCGATTGCTATCAATTTGATGTGAACTGTTTTAGAGTTATTTACAGTCAAATACTTGTTATTTTGTCTTATCTTTATTATTTATTAATGCTAAATAAAACCGAAGTTACAAAATATAAATTTAAATATATGATATATTAGTATTGTGTATTCAGTATAAACTATAGAATATAAAGCATTGGCTATAGGGTGCCTCCAAATTTTTAAAAAATAATAAAGGGTGTCGTGAGTCAAAAAAAGTTGGGAACCTCCGCTCTAGCCGGTTTGGTAATAAGCGGCCGGGGAATATATAAATTATGTCATAATTTTAAACATTATTATGTACTGAAAAAATATAAATAAATGTATCAAAAACATTATATTTAAATTGTTAATAAAAATGAATACTTTAATAACAAAAGAAAAAATGTAAAGGGGTCTAGAGATTACTCATGCAGTTAAAACACAAAAATATATTTAATAATAAAAAACAAATACCAATTCAAATAAATTGAAATTTAATTTATAAATTTAGAATATTAATAATTTAACTAAATATAGAAAGGAGAAAAATTGATTTATGTAATGGAAAAATATTATTTACACAACAGAGAATACTTAATTATTTTAAGTTTAATAATTTAATGGATTAAATATAAAAAAATTAAGTCAAAGCTTAAAAACATAAATTTAATCAATTTTGTTATAATTACAGTTGTTATTCAAAATAAAAACGACTTATCGTTATTCCTGGAAGTAGATAAGTGGTTGTCACTCGTAAGTTTGTTTTATTCTGGATCGGCTTCTAGATTTCGGCTGTTTACTCTAATAAAAAGAACAAATACAATATTTCAATAATTAATTATACTTTAATCATTAAAGAAAAATAAATAATAATTTATTTTTTTATTTTATTAGTATTAATATATGCAATGGACAGGAATTATAAAAAACATAATTTGTAAGAATGACAATAATTAACAAACGTGAATTAAATAATACAAGTAATATTAGACATAGATTATCTGTCTCATCGTTGCTCCCATCGCAGTATGGCGCCAAAAAATATTATTTAAATTTAAATGTTTTTTATTTACAAAAAATTATTTTAACGCATTAATCGATGGAATACTGTGGTCTGTTAAGGTTGTAATAGTTTATATACACTCTCATTTAAGTTTAAAACGATTTTTACTAAAACTATTAGGCTATAGTGCATATTAGGATATAACACTGTATTGTTATTTGAAATATGAATTAAATATTAAAAATTGTGTCTTATAACAATAATTTATATTCATAAATACTTTGCAATCGCGATAAAAGAAGTACGTTAAAACAGGCTTAGTTTCCTGATGCCTGAAAGCCGATGGAAATATAATTTATATTATAATTTTAAACATTATTTATGTACTAAAAAAAATATAAGAAATATTATTAAGAACATTATACTTTACATTATAACAAAAAATGAATGCTTTAATGACAAAAGAAAATATTAGAAGGTGTATTCAGAAATCTAGAGACTACTTACGCAGACGAAACGAAAAACCAAAAATTAAATAATGATAAAAAAATTTTTATTCAGAAATCTAGAGACTACTTACGCAGACGAAACAAAAAACAAAAAATTAAATAATGATAAAAAAATTACTAATACTATTAAATTTATAAATTTAGAGTATTAATAATTTAAATGTTTTGTATTTACAACAATTTATTTTAATTATGAAAAGTATTAACCGATGAAATACTAAGGTCTGTTAAAGTTGAAAAAGTTTTTATAAACCCTCATTTAAGTTTCAAAACGATTTTTACTAAAATTATTACTCTATAGTGCATGCTAGAATATAACTATCTACAAATATAACAATATATTTTTATTTGAAATATAAATTAAATATTGAAAATATACTACATTTTACAACATCAAAATCATATTTTTAAATATTTTTCAGTCACGATAAAAGAAGTAATAAAAAAAGTTTCCTTGTGCCTGATGACCGGGAAATATATAAATTATGTCATAATTTTAAACATTATTTATGTACTGAAAAAACATAAATAAATGTATTAACAACATTATATTTAAATTGTTAATAAAAACGAATACTTTAATAACAAAAGAAAAAATGAAAAGGGATCTAAAGATTACTCATGCAGGTGAAACACAAAAATATATTTAATAATAAAAAATAAATACCAATTCAAATAAATTTAAATTTAGTTTATAAATTTAGAATATTAATAATTTAACTAAATAAAGAAAAGAAAAAAATGTATTTAAGTAATGGAAAAATATTATTTACATAACAAAGAATACTTAATTATTTTAAGTAAAATAAGGTTATTTAATGGATTAAATATAAAAAAATTAAGTCGAAGCTTAAAAACATAAATTTGATCAATTTTGTTATAATTTTTTTTTTTTTTTTTTATTTTAATACGTAATATACAATCTATATCAAACGACACAATAAGCATATATGATAAGGGGTACAGATAACATGAGTATACAAAATACAAAAAGTGAATAAAGAAGCCACCCAATGATGACACTTAAATGTTGATAGTTTATATGAAAAATGTAAATGAATTAAATATATTTAATAAGTTAGTATTTTTTTTTTTTTTTCTATATTAAAATTTGTAACAGGTCTCTACACTATTCACGTTTTAATCGTCTAGGAGGACTGCCGGGGATTGAGAGGGAGGAAAGGTTTTTAATTAAAGGATTTGAGTGGGAGGAAAGACGGTTGTGGAATCTTTTGTAAAAGTGTTTGGCTTCCTCGTGGATAGTTTTTAATTTTAGGTCTGTATGGAGAGTATGGTTAGATATGTATGGGGGAGCATTTATTAATTTTCTTAGCGCAATGTTTTGAAAACATTGAATTTTATTTAAATTTGTCTTTTTTGCACTTCCCCATAGCTGTATCCCGTACGTCCATATTGGTTTCAGTAGTGTTTTGTAGATAAGGAGTTTGACATGAAGGGAGGTGTGTTTATTAGAGACTAGAGGTTTGAGGATACGAAAGCGGTTGTTCAGTGAAAGTCTTTTTGCTCTAATATGGTGAGCCCAAGTTAATCTTTTATCTAATGTAAGACCAAGGTATTTAACTGAAGGAGAGGATGGAATTGGAGCACCGTACAGAGTTACCTCAGGGGTAAGAGCTGGTCTAAGCGTAAAGGTGGTGTGTATAGACTTGCTATGGTTTAATTTAAATCTCCATTTGGTATACCAATTCTCCATAAGGTCTAGGTGAGTTTGAAGGTTTGTGGAGGCTATGCATGGGTTGTCATTCATAGATATAATTACTTTATCATCGGCATAATCTGCTACTGATGTATTTGGTGTGATTGGTTGATCTGCTGCGAATATATTGTAGAGAATGGGGGATAAAATGCCGCCCTGTGGAACCCCAGCACTTATACTG